ATGTGACAGAAGCCAAAGTTATCTTTCTGTGTGGGTAACTGTGGAAATAGTAACCCCAGTGAAATTAGACTCTTAGGAAAAGGCGTCATCTAGTACCCATCTTCTACCAGCATGTGGAAACTCTCAAACAGATACAAGATCATTAGTTATATAACCCTCCTCCCACCCCAGGCCTCGGTGGATACTGCAGAGTGCTCCGTGTTTCTAGTGCCCTTCTCCTCACACAACTGGCCAATAGATTTCTAATTACCGTAGCGACGTAGGTTTTCCTTACTGTGGCATGCCTGAAATGAGGTGACAGATACTGCTTCTAGCCCACATGTGCCCTTTCTGTTTCTATTGCTTGTACTGCCATAATCTGAACAGCATTTCAGCTAATGGCACATTTCTGGATGATGAGTGTGTTGGTCTGCAGCATCTCTCCATGTGATGCTGAACTTGAACAAGTATCCAGGTAACGAGGAGCTGAGGGAGGAGATGATTAGATGTCACCAGAGCTGAGGGGTGGTAGGTGGGCTGGCTGCGAGCGCTCCTGCCTTGCATACCTCATTGATCCACCTCTGGAAGGTTTCAAGAGTGCTGGGGTGGGAAGGTTTTTGGATGCCTGCAGAGATCCTGGGGGCTCACAGTGCAGACCAGGACCAGGAGTCACATAGGGTGCAATTTCTCTCTGGACACGTGTGATTAGGGTCTTATGTTAGCTTTAATGTTGCAGGCTGATTCTCTGGTACAAAAAATCTGAGTGAGAGGAGCCATCCAAACTGATCCCTGTTGCAAATCTGCCCATAATGGGGATGGTGGCTATTTTCATTCCAGCTTTTGGCAAGCTAATGAAAGCACCTTGTTTCTGCCAGCCAGCTAGATTTTCTCCCCAAAGGTAACTTCTCTACAGTCCCCTGAAACATGTAGTCCCCTGAAACATGTAGTTCCCAAGAGCCAGGGGAGACTAGCTGAGCCATGTTACTGAAGCGGTCTTGGGACTTTTGTCAAGTTTGAATGCTGAGCTTTCATTTTTTGCCCTTCACTGGAGAGCAACTTTGGAGACACCTTGGTGCCAGTGATCATCAGGAGCTGGATTTCCAGTTATGTTTCAAAATGACTGCATTTATGGTAGTGGCAGGTACCTCCAAGTTGTTGCTTAAGGCTGAAGCAGCTGCACATTTTTCAGCATACGGTACATGGGCAGATCCTCAGCCTTGTGCAAGTCACTCTGTCCCCCATGACTTCAGCTGAGCTGGGCTATACCAGATGAGAGCTGAGACAGTAGCTTGGCCCTGCATTGCCTATTTGCTTGTTTTATCATGGTGGTGCACTTGGATATGAATCCTGACTTGTGCCCCCTTGTAGGGGGAACTAAACAAGTTTCATGGCTTTTCTCAGCAACTCTAGCAAAAAAAAAAAAGTACACTGACAAGCTTATCAGTTAATCGATGTCTGTGAATCTTTCAGGGTTTTCTGTTGGCTAATGCTCCATGCGTGCACGGACTTGCACCCTTGCTCTGAAGGGCATAACCCTGGTAAGCAGCTGCACGCTTCTTTGTGCGCGCAGGCCCCGTTTGCACCCGCAGCCTGGTTCCAGCAGGGTATCGCAAGTGAGGCCTCTGCTCTGCGGTGAGTGCCCAGGCTGGTGCTTGTGCGTTTGCAGCATTTGCCCCTGCCCACCTGCTCCTCTGCTTTGCTAAGACGGGCTGGGAAAGTCCAGTTCAGCTGCCTGTAGTTTCTTGGCCGTGAAAGTCCACTTCCTTCGCATGGTATTTGTGCCTGATACTGACCTGTTCAGTCCACAAAGTCTTGGCACAGGAATAAATATTGGAAGTAAAATCTGTGCTCCACTGCCACATGCAACATGCTCTCTTAAAGCAAGTTGCTCCTGTTATATGTTATAGATGTTATATGTTATAAAATGAGGAGACCTGACACTTTTTTATAAGGAACTAAATTGACAGCTCTGGAAATACCCATCCTTGCTGGAGTACACTGTTATTTTCCTTCCTAATTTTCTTTAAAATCAGCGCTTCACGTGCAGATGGGCCGTTCCTTCAGTGCTCCCTTAGGTCAGGGGAGCGGTGCTGTCCTCGCGGGCTCCCTGCACATCCCGCTCACTTTTGCCAGATGCTGCTGGTCTTACAGCCTCGCAGGGACTCACGCAGTGCGAGCCTGATGCGCAGAGCTGCCAGCCTCCCCTGCTCTCCACAGCCACCCTCCCAAGAAACTGCCCCTTCCCCACCTGGGAGAGGGCCTGTGTCCGAATGCTGCAGACGCCGCCTGCCTCCTGGAGCTCTCCGTGGTTTTTCAGGCACCCCTGGGGGCTGTGAGGACCTGGGCAGCATGGGGCAGGATGCAGCAGGGAGGTGGCCCCACGTGGCCTCGCCGCACAAGGCCTGGGTGGCTGCTGCGCGCTGGGGAAAGCTGCGCACCCCCAGCCTGGCAGCACTACAGCACTGGTGAGCAAAGGGGAAGGGCAGACCCAGTGTGCCTGGGGGTTTTAAACCTCTGCAAGGGCTTCTTTTGTGAGCATTCTAGCAAAGGAAATGTTTGAAGTGATTTGCTTTCTGCTGTGCAGAAAGGAGTATTTGGAGTGCCAGGAGGGAAAAGCAATCTTTGCTCTGATAGAAGATGACTGCAAGCAAATGCTTTTTTCTTGCCTCCTCCTCTGAAAGCTAGTGGATACCCTGAAACGTTGGTCTGCGTCGGCTCCCTCAGCCCCGCAGAGATGTTTGAGTTCGTGGCTGGTTGGCAGTGCTGACCGCTGGCAAGGGGGCATTGCTGAGTGCAGCCTGAGGACAATCCCCAGTACAGCTGACAGCTGGAGGGCTGCTGCGGATGGGCAATCAGTCATCTTCACCACAGGTTAAAATAAAGGTTTAAAACAGCCCTGCCTGTGGCTCTGTACCAGCCCAGTAAACAGGACCATGTCTGGTTTAAGGAAAAAAGCAAAACCAACCCAAACAAAAGAAACCATCACCAAAACACATATAGCCAACCTGGGGTTGGCGTTGTTTTACATCACAGCTCCTGCAGATGCAGCCAGCTCTCTGCGAAGGCTGCCCTGCTGCTGGGGCTGCAGGGAAAGCACTGCTCCACATTCCTCCCCTTTGGTCTGCAGCCGGGGGAGATACTTGTCTGGAAGAGCTTAACCCCAGTGGTAGCCCCCACGGTTAATGTGGAGATGAGGCTGGATGGTGACGGGACTGCTGACGAAGCAGCAGCTTGGCTCTCAAATGGAGCTTTTGTTGCGGATCCCATTTCAGCACGCAGCTGCACAGGGACCCTTTTTAGATGCCCACCCTGAGCAGGGGCCCTTTTTAGATGCCAGTTTAATTAATCCTCGCCCACCCCTTGCTCCCTTATGCCTTCACTGAATGGCGACTCTTCTGATGCCAAGAACTCTGCAGCAATATATCTGAGTTCACCACCCAAGGACTGCGAGGGCCTGTGCCAAATGTTTAGCTGTATTTTTGTCTGGCAGATAGCCACAGCTTGCTCTTAAAAAGAAGAAAAAAAAAAGACAACAAAAACAAGTCAGGTATTTCTAACTGTTGACGCCGCCTCCGTCTGCGGCGGAGCAAAGCTCAGGCATGGCAGCAGCGACCTTTGCTTAATGCGGAGCACTGCAGTTGAGTCGGGGGCAGGAAGAGACTATTTGGGCCTTTGGAGGGACAAGACAGGCTAAGGGAATGAGACTTGGTTTGCAGGAAGAGTCCAAGAGACCCTCCCTTTTCCCTGGTGGTGCCATAGCTGCCCTAGCAGGGCTGGGAGGATGGTCCTTGTGCAGGTGGGGAGCATCCAGATCCAGCCCATTCGGAATGCCAGGGGCTCTCCCAGCAGCCAAGGCCAGGGATTCTGGCCTGCTTACGAACAGGCCGGGCTGGGCAGCCGAGCGCGAGCCCGCCTGGCCCTCAGCGCAGCCCAGCGCCCCGAGCTGCACCGGGAGCTGCACGAAGCCTGCAGAGCCCGGCCACTCTCAGCGGGTGGCAGAAACACAACGGCACCAGGCAGCCCATTGCCAGCGCAAGTGTCTTCCCGAAGGCATCCACCTACCACTGGCGATTTATTAGCTATTTTACAAGCCCATTTCAGACAGTGCCTCTGCAGTCTTGTCTCCACTTGATAGGAGAGGGTTCATCTATCACCTGTGCAGGCAGATGAGGATCCAGGTCTTTCTCAATTTTCTGTAGCAAGCTGAGGCTGTTGGTGAGACATCTGCCCTGGATGCCTGACCCGTGGCACCTCCAACACAAACAAGCCCTCCTATGTAAGTCCTAGCTTGCACAAATACGTTGCACTAACACAGTAGTTCAGGCAGCTTGATCAGCTGGTTCAGTAACTCTTCACTACCCTCCATAAGCAAGTGCTTTTCCTCAGAGTTTTAGTAGGGAGCAGCTTGCGGCATGTATGAGCCTGTGTCTTTCTTGCTGAAAGGTGGCAGCTCTCCCCCAGGAGCAGGTTCACTCCTGCAAGAGAACAGTGTTGAAGGCAAAGGGCACCCAAGGAGGGCATAGTTAGGGCTGTCCCAATCAGGGAATTTCTTCAGCAACCCTGCAGATTAAATGCATAGCTGGCCAGAGTCCTTATATCTCATCCATCTCCTGTGCAAGCTGCCCAGGAGGGACCCAGAGCTGAGCACCCAGAGGGGCTGCTGGGTCCTCTGACCCACAGCCAGGTAAGGCCCCTTGGCTGGGTCCAAATTCCTCCCAGTTTGCCGCTCAGAATGCTCAAAAAGGCAAGTCCTCTTTAACGCCTAGACACCCGTGTGTTTATTTGTAGCTGAGAACATCCACTGCCCTTGAAAAAGCCATGCGGTTTTAATGCAAAACTGAGCATTTTTCTGGAGGGAAGTTGACCCAAGAAGCAACAGGAGAAAGAGGAAAGTGAACATTTAAATGGTGCATTTGGGTGCTGAACAGCTGAATCCTCTGTATAACGCACACAGCTGAACCTCTGCCTTAACCAAGAGCACCCTTACATCAGTTTGAGGGCGTACGCATCCAGAGAGCGAGATGCTGTGCCGCATGAGCCCGCGTGGAAGAGCAAGCCTGGGAGGGGGCTGCTTTGCAGAGGGCTCCCGTGGGTCGCTGGCCAAGAACTGCACACCTCTGCTGCCTTCTCCTCTGCTCAGCAAGGCCGAGGAGCTGTGGAAGCCCAGCGAGAATCAACTACCTCTGGGTACTCCTCTCTCTTACACCAGTTTGGTCAAACGCGAAGATGGGTTTTCTGTAGCTGTAGCCTTACGGGGCATTGGGTCAATTCCCTGGTGCTCTGAAATTAGAGCCAGTCGCACATATCCTACGTCCTGTGTCCTAATCGTGCCGTCCAGCCTCAGGCCCGAGTCCTCCATCTGCGACTCAGGCTGGGCAGAGCACGGTGAGCACCTTGCTAAGAGCCACATTTGCCTTCTTGTCTGGAAGAGGTTATGCGCGTGTGTTCTGTGTGGTGGATTTAGGGACTTGCAGACAGAAGGGCGTTATTTGGTACTCTGTTTTGTTTCCTGGGGCCAGAGCAAGACTTACGAAGAGCAAACTGTCTTCAGCTTTATCGTTTTGAAGCAACAGCCTCTTGCCATTTTTCTGCACCTCAGGAGCAAGATGTCTCCACGTGCCAGCTAATTTTTTTTCTATCCTATTTTCAGTCTTGAACAAGAGCATTTTGTTATGCTCTTTTGTTCATTTTCTCATAGAGATGCTTCTCATTTCCATCAGGGTGACACTGCAGAGGCACTGGTGCTGCTGAGAAGCAGAAGAGATGCTCCTCCAGATCATACCCCATAGAGATCGTTGGGTTATACAAGCACAAACCATCAGCTGCTTTGTGGAGAAAGGCAAGGAAGAAATTTGGCAGCAGGGACTCAGGGGCTCTCTGCGAGTCACCAGTTAATGATTTGTGGATACACTTTAGGAGCTGTTGTACTAAACTTGTCATCACCTTGTCATGCTACATCCTTTAGGTATTTTGCACTTTGGGAACATTTTTCCAGTCCTCATCACCCAACATTGCTCCATCAAGTCTGCCCCTTGTCCTGCAAGTGCTTCCTCATCAGCTAGCCTGACCTCTGCAGAAGTCTTACCCCAATACCAAACCACAGCGTGGCTGGAGGGCTTGCTTGGTGGAGTCACCTGGCTTTGTTGTGCAACAGCAATAAGGAAATGGGCAGTGTGTCAACTGGAGCAAAAGAAGAAAAGACAAAGCAAGAAGAGAGCCTGTAAATGTGCTAATCCCTAATAGGGATACCCAGTTCTCTGGAGCCCTTGGCCTCTGCAGAGCTCTCTGTGCCAGTACCAAGATCTGTTTAAAGATCTGTTTAAGTGGGATGCACATGGTGGTAGGAGCAAGACCACAACTTCCTCTTACTCTGCCTAAGTCCTGGAGAGTTTTGTTAGATTGTTAGATTGTTGTTGGATGCAGATAATTTGCATTGGTATTTTCACTGCAAATCCACAAATACAGAGCAAGTGGTTTTACAGTACCTATAGCAACTACTTTTAGAGACTCTAAGTAACTCAGTAGTCACAGGAATTTAGGAAACGTCCTGAATTACACACAGTTTAGAAAGTCAGAGATTGCAAATGCTGTTTTAACATTGTATTTAAGATGTTTCCTATAGTGTATTTCAGCCCAGAGTAAATTAACAGTGGAAGAAGAAAAGAATTAGAAAGAAAAAAAAAAAAGAATTTGTCATAAAATGCAAAACCTTGCTTAAAGCCTTGAAAATCACATACATTAGCAAAAAAACACCTTGTCACCTGCAGCAAGTATTTTCTTTTCCAGCATCCACATCTCACATGCCTCCCCTTGGATGCAGGTGCAGTGGAAATGGATGGCTTGATATAATTTAGTTATCCAGCCACATTCCCTTTGCTGAGGTACAGACAAGTCCAGTCATGGATTATGTGCCTGGCTTTTCCCAAGCCACAGCTTGTCCTTCAGGTGGCAAGTTGCCCCATTGCTTCTTCCCAAGCCTTATCTGCTTGTGCAAAGAGAGGAGAATCCCTCCATCTCACCTTTGGTTGCCTCAGCTTTCCTTGGGAGCCTCCTCCCAAGGATCCTGCAGTGCCACACGCACGTGGTGGCCTTCAGCCGCGCGGGTCCCTCAGTCTCTGCAAGCAGCTTCCCTCTGGAGGCACCTGCTTCGCCTGGGGCCAGCCCAGGGCTTCCCCGGAGCCACTGTGCAAGGGACAAGGGCATGTGTTAAAATAGCTCGTTTGAAGTATGCTTGCTGAAGAGGTGTAAAGGAATGAAATATTAATGATGTCAGGCATGTGGGCTTCTTAGAGCTACGCAGTTATTTTTCTGTGAGGACCTTAAGATCATAAATTCTGAGGTTACATGACAATAACTGAGCGTGGAATCTGACCCCTTATGCCTGAAAAAATCCTCAATTGTTATTAGGTGCAAATAATACAAACCATTATTCCAAAATAATGCTAGCTGGGGTTGCAATATTCACATTCAGACAGTAGGAGATGGTAATTTCAAGGTTGCCAAGCAAACATAATCTTTCTGCCCAAGTGTACATCTTGTGATCAGTAAGGCAAGGTTCCTAGGGAAAATGACAAGTGTAATTAAAACCTGCCTCATCATGCAGGCTCACAGGGGATGGCAAGCTGTGATCGTAATGGTAAATGCTCCTAGCAGGTGTTTTCTTTTAATACAGGGTTTTAAACAAAACTTCTTGTGTTTATATTAACCCAGATATTCTTCTGTCTGCTTCCAAGTGTGCCCTTGTTGTGGGTTGCAAACACAAAGCGAAACTTCAGCCCTTTCAGTATAGACTTCTTCCTTCTGCGATGGCAAACTAGCTACTTAGCTGAGACTGTTGCAGAGAACCAGATCACCATCAGTGCTGCCAATTCTGTGGTTCTTTGGGGCTTCAGAGGCTGTCAGTCTTCAGTATGTAAATCATTATCTAAGTCATATAGATCATAAGTATTAAAGATTTCAGGCTCTTTATGGAGCACTAGGGAGCTTCCATGGATATTGGGGTAAAGGAGGAGATCCTGCCAGAAGTGCTGACATGTCACTGCAGAAGAGCAGGAGCTGGGTCTGGAAGAACAGCTAGGGGAAGCTGGAGTCCCCTCTTCCCTCTACAGGTACTTGACAGTCCCTAGGCATCCGCAGTGCAAGTAGCACTATACCGACTTTTATGACTTTATTTCAAGTTCACTTGACATTTGCTGTCAGAATTCTCCCAAGAAACGCAAACAAAAGGGGATAAAGGTGATTAACTTGGACAGTCTAGAGGACTGATGACTGGCTCTCCATGTAAGACAAGAAACTTAACAGCTTCTTATGTCCTTTGGTGAGTGAATTATGTAGCCTGGTTGCTTAATGGGGTGTTTAAAAATTGTGTTGGCAATAGCCTATGAATGATGTATTCATGAATAATGAAATGCCTTTCTGGTAAGAAAATGCTGATATATTGGGGAACATTTTATCAGATGTAAAAGCAATTTTGAAAGCACTGTGTTTCCCAAGATACCCTTATCTGTGGTCCTGCTGCTTCAGAGACTGCACTCCCTTTTTAGACACTGCATGTGAAGATGTCCTCCACTACCTCTGTCTTGGTCTTCCAGCCTCACCCAGGTTCCCTTTGCAAAAGCCCCTGATTTGGGTGAGCGTAGGCCCTAATAATTGAGCACTGGGAACATGGAGCTATTTGCCTTACAGCCTACAGAAACCTATTCACATTTCTGAACCAAGGTACCTTGCAGTGAGAAGAAGACAGACGCTGCCTTTGAGTCACAGCCACATCCCTTAGTTTAAGTGATTGGGAAGAAAAGACCAGCATTTCTTTCCCAGGTTTCCGGTGCCCAGATTCTTGCATTAGATCAGCAACCCCAGCACCCCACAGGTGGATGTCCCACACTGTGCTGGGCTTCATCGTGAACCCAGCAGTGATGCCCCTAGACTCTCCCCTGTGTCCTCCTCTGGTGCACAGGCCCTGCGTGTGCTTTGGCCATCAGCACTGGGAAGCTGCTGTGAACTAAGCAACTAACCCTCGCCTGGCCACAGGAGAGACAGCGCAGAGAGAAGCCACTGGTTGCAGGGGACCCCTGGGTGCTGCAGCACCTTCCCTGCAAGAGGAAGCAGCCTCGAAGATCCACGATGTAGCTCGCCAACAGCACCAGGCCATCACCTTCTCTTTCGGGGCTCCTTTTTTCAGCCTTCAGCTACACTCTGGGACAAAACAGAACTGTAACTTAGTTTTTCATGGGGATTTTCATTTTTCCCTTCTGGCAGAAACGTCACAGGAGAGCAGGTGAACATCGTATGTATCTTACCATCTAGGATGGTCCCAGCTGGGTATCTGGGAAGAGCAGACCCAGCTGGGATAGGCTGGAGTCTGTCTCTGCCTCGTCTTTGCTGTGCGTAGCTGGTGCTCACACCGCGTTTCAGTGCCTGGATTTACACAAGAGATTCCTGAGCCGAAGTGCTTTCTGCAATAGGGACAATATATAATTAAAGTAATGTCCAAACAAAACAACAGGTGATTGACATGGATATTAGTCAACTGAGGAAGTGACATCCCCACCTTGGAGGTTGATATGATGGGTTTTGAAGTCATGTGGCGATCCTGACTGCAAGCCCCAGGCATGAATGAGCCTATGGGACAGGACAGCGAGGGGGTTACAAGAGCAGTTATATCCCCAGGGTGATGCGTAGCTAGCTAAGCAGGAGTATTCACCAAGCGGTGACCAAGATTCACACTTTATTCACCTCTTTGCTGCTAGGGGATTGCAGTATTTTCTCAGCTACAGGAAAGGCATGCATAAAAGCAATCAGTCTAAACACAAGAGAAGTGCAAGGGCCACCACTGAGTACTCACTGATTCCTTAAGTATTTTCAGTATAACAAATAAAGAGAAAAGGAATCTAAAGCTTCCTCAGTCTCTATTACCTGGCCTGCCAGCCAAAAGGTGTATTCTGCAGACACATTCACAAGGATCTAGGTTGGAAATCATGGCCAAGTTTCTCTCTAGGGTGGAAATGCTGCTGGTCAAGAGTATACATGAAAGGGGAACTTCCAAAGGAAGGCGACAGTTCTGTATGTCGTTCATTCCCAATGCTTCTGAAGATCCTATTAATTTCCATTTCTTTTAATTATTTTCTCTTTTAGGTGAAGAGTGAGGGCCCTAAACTGGTGCCCTTCTTCAAAGCCACTTGTGTCTATTTTGTCCTCTGGCTGCCAACTTCCAGTCCTTCGTGGTTCAGTGCCCTCATCAAATGTCTGCCCATCTTCTGCTTGTGGGTTTTCCTCCTGGCTCATGGAATCAACTTCTTAGTGGCACACCGGAGCGCCAGCCGCATCCTGGCAGGACTCATATTCTCGGCAGTGGGAGATGCCTTTCTCATCTGGCAGGAGCAGGGCTACTTCATTCATGGTGAGTGAGGCACCAGTCCCAAAGGATGCCACCATGGCCAGCTGTCACATTCTTTATTTAGTAATGAGTTGCTGGGCCATGTGGTTGCTTATTCATTTACAACTTAAGCCGCTGGCAGTGGGAGGCGCTCACCCCTTGACTAAAATCCACTGCAGTTAGAGGAGTCACACAGCGGATGAGTGTCCTGACCTTGTTTGCGTCCCTGCTGGGGAATCAGAGGGGTGGTTGGAGCAGGTTTGTTTTCCCAACACGTGCTCGCTGATGCAGGTGGCTGGAACAGGAAGGTGGCGCAGGCCTGGGGAAGAAGTGGAAACATTTGGCAGCTCCTGCATAGCCATGGGCAGTGTCTTGCCTCTACTTCTCTGCCAGGAGATCTGTCAGTCCTGCGAGGATCTGGAACAGGAGGCAGGTGCACAGGCCCCTCAGCGGGGAGCAGGTGGAGGGGACCCGTATGGTTTTGTCAGACAAGCCTGTGGTCTGGCAGCGGTGCTTAGGTGGATGTTAGAAACCAAACCATCAAAAACCTTGTCCTACTTGTAGACTCATCACTATGAATCATGCATCCTGTTTTACAAAAACAAGAGCTGGTTTTTCAAGACACATAAATGATAGGGAATCATGGGAAAGCCGACCAGGACCGCCCGCCTTCTCCTTAGGAAGATCCACGTTTCTCAGAGCAAAACAAACTTATTTTATTTTGTTGGTTTGCAAACTAGAACATAACGCTTTAGATTAATGATTTAAAGCCACACTGTGCCTGCCTACAGCAATGCTCCCAGTGGCTTTGGACTGTCATAAGAAATCAGCAGCAGGCGAGTCTTTCACTTAGCCACACTGGTGGCATTTCTGAAGCTAACTTGAACGTTGGGTTCAAGTGGTCTCACTTGAACACCCACCATTAACTGCCTGCTGGGACTGTGGAAAGTGTGATGAGATGAGGGAGCTTTTCCCATTTGTGCAGTTGTCAGCTCCAAAAGTCAAAGGATCTTCCTCTCTTCCCTGTCACAGTAGGTCAGTATTTTGTTTTATTCTGGGACCTCACAAGCTCTGCCTTCTTTAAGAGAGCAAAGTGTGTGAAATGCCAGCTGTGAAAGGCCAAGTACTTGGAATCTGCTTTTAATCCTGCTTCCCAAAGGCTTATCCAAGCCTCATTAAAAGTCCATGCAGATGCTGTTAGTATTTCAGCGGGGTTCAGGCTGGGCACTGAGGAACGGATCCGATGAGCTGAGCCTGGGGCACGCTGCTGAGGAGCCCTGGGCAGCACTTGGGCACCGGCCCCTCGGTGCCGGCCGTCGGCGTTCCTGCCCCTGGCCTCCTCCTGCAGCACAGCTGTCCCTGCTCCCGGGCTGCGGCTCGGGAGCGTTCAAGGCCCAGTTTCTCACCGGGCTCCTCCTTGGGACTGTTTCTGTACAAGGACTGCACGGAGCTTCCCCCTATTCCCTGCAGCTGGGATCTCCCAGGCTCCTCTCGCATCCAGCGCTACAGGAAAGCCGGCTGGTCACAGCAATTTGCTGCCAGGTTGTTTTAGATGGAAAAAACAAACAAACAAACAAAAAAACCCCCAGGATTTTGGCCCCTGTCTTACAACTGAGAAGTGTCCTGTTGGGGGGCTGGGCACATTTTTCTTTGTGATTTAAGGAGAATATTTGTTCAGCTCTCACTTTGAAAACCTCCGCCTTTATGCTGGCTGCCTCCTGGCCCGCTCCGCTCGGATCCGAGCTGCCGGCTTCCACGCTGGGGCGCAGCACGTGGGTGTCAGCTCCCAGCAAACGCACCGCTCCACCTCAGCTTCACCTCTCCTGCAAAATATTTGCTGCAGTTTAATTCTCAGCAGGCTGATGTTGCTGGCAACTGAAAACATTCACATTTTTGACATTATCTTCTGTGGAAATTTCAAATTTCAAGGGAATAAATAGCCTCAGATACACTTTCTATTGAATTTCTATGGCTTTCAAGATGAAAAAGAGGGCTGGAAACTGGGCTAAGTTGAATAGCTTCTGAGACAATGAGTTTATTAAAGGACATCTGTTCATTATTTTACACGGAAGTGGGAGCCTGGGAACCCGCTCCTGCCACACTTGACTTTTTTCATTTTTGCTGCTTCAGTCCACAAATAACAAGCCCTTTTCTGGGTAGTGCCATACTGTACGTAGAAGTTACTTAGAGTGTTAAATCCACTTCCTTTGATAAAAAGCCCTGGAAACAATTGATGCATTCAGGGAGCAAGAGAGGGACTAAGGAGAACGACTTTATCACCAGCCTGCGGAAAACTCCGGGGCTGGGGTGGGGACATGAACCCAGGCTAGCTGCTTCCATCTGCCCGGCCCACAACGGAGCGGAGGAGAGGAGGAAGCGGGCAGCGCGGGAAGGCAGATCTCCTGCCTTGGCCAAGGCTGAGCGCAGCTGCCAGCTCAGTGTCTGCAGCAGCGACGCGGCCCCCTCCCTGCACTGTCAGCACTGGTTTCCCCGGCGCCCGGCTTTTTTTGTGCGTGTCAATCGAGAAGAGCTGGGAGCAGCCTCTTGTGTTTGTGTCCGGCCTCACCACAAACCCCTCCTGCCGCCTTTCTTGGCTTCTGCTTTTCCTCCCCTCTCGCTTCCCTGCACAGGCTGCAGTGCTGGTCCCGTGCTGCCCTTGGCAGCTGCGTGGCCTCCTGCTCTGCTCTGCTCTCCTCCTGCTCCTGCGCGAAGGCCACCACGTCCCTCAGTTCCCCATCTCGGTGCCCTCCACATAGTGCAGCCGACGGAGAAACTGTACCCTTCCTCCTACCGCCCCCACAGCTTCAACCTTTCCTGCACCATGCCCAGCGCTCATCCTCAGTCCCTGCTTGTCTTCCTTCAATCTCTTGTGCTCCTTGTGTTTGATAACTCTATAAAACATCTGCCTCTTGTTGCCCTCTTTTGGGCATTTCTTCCTTCGCCTTCATGCTATCCATTTTCTTTAGCGTCACCTTGCAGACCAACCTCCCTTCCCTCTTCATTCTGCAGCTTTCCCCCCTTACCTTGTGGTTTCAGTGGATGTTTGATCTGGTATTTCACAAAGGTGGGGAGACATTTCCCTCTCTCGGAGCCGGCTCAACCTATGATGGATGAATAAACATTTCCCAGCATGGGGTTTCCATTTCACAAAGGTGGGGAGGCACTTCCCTCTCTCGGAGCTGCCTCAACCTATGATGGATGAAGAATAAACATTTCCCAGCATGGGGTTTCAGTGGTTCTCCTTGACACCCAGTGTCACACTTAATTTTAAGCAAGTGGCCTGCTCGAGCACTTGGCTCCTTAGGTCATTTGTACGATGTCATGCCTTCGAGCTGTACAGAAACTTGAGGCCACGCTAGTAAAACTCCCTGGATAAAGTGGCTTTAAACAGCCTTTAGCTGCACCACGTAGAGTCAGGGAAGAGAAGACTCTGGGGCCTGTTGTGTACCATGGGCAAGAGAACTAATAGTCAGCCGCTGTACCAACACACTGGACCTCTTTTTGGGAAATGGATTGGGGTCAAGGGAGTAACACATGGGCAGGACCTTCCAACACCCACAGCTGGGATTTCTCGGGGACGTTGCCCTTCAGAGGGAAGCCTGCATTTTCTTTTTGTTGATTGCTTCTAGTTTAGGTTCACCTGCAGCTTGCAAATAGCCACCAAATCATTGGCCAGTCACATTGGTGCAGTCCCTAAAATACGCTAGCTGCTTCTTTCCAGCTAAGGTTTCCCCTAGCTGTGGGTGAAAGTGGAGTAGAAGCCAGATTTAGTGAAAGTGTGACTGGTTTTGGTGTCTGTGGCTAAATATAACAGACTTTATGTCTGGGTTAATGGGGAATCAGTAACTCCGCACATTTTGTTCTCACCTGCTCTGATTCCACTCTTCCCTCTTCACAAGTGACACAGGAGTGAAATGCTTCATGTAGTTAAAGGGGGGATGATCACTGGTCTTCCATGCACCCATCCTTCTGTCCAAAATAGCAGAGATGGATCCCTCTGAAAAACAATTTTTGTCTTTCTTTAGCAGCTTAGTCACTGCAAAAATGATTGGATCTTACCAGAGCTGTGCTCTGAGGCAATTCCTTAGGACAGGAGCTTGCTGACAAGGCTAACCTCCTGTGTGCAGGTTCTAACCGTGAAACACTGCCCAGCACGCAGTCATGTTCTCACTGAAGGCGAGTAAGGGTTGTAATGTTGCAGGGACACCTAAGCCTGTAGCTGGTGCTGTGTGTTTGCAACCCAGCACAGCTGCAGGCTTTCTGCTGCTGTGGCCTGCCAGTCACCTCTGCCCTGTCAATGCCTCTTTGCAGGTCTGCTGATGTTCGCCATCACACACATCCTGTACTCCTCAGCCTTCGGCATGAAGCCTTTGGACCTGAAAGCTGGCCTGCTCATGGGCCTCGTTTCCAGCTCCTGTTATGCCTTCCTGTACTCCTACCTCTCAGGCCCCTTCACCTACTTGGTGGCCGTCTACATCGCCTTGATCGGCTTCATGGGCTGGCGAGCGGTGGCCGGCATGCAGCTCTGCAACGACCTCTGGACGTGGACCAAGCTCTCGGCCTGCATCGGCGCCATGCTCTTCATGGTGTCCGACCTGACCATTGCAGTTAACAAGTTTTGCTTTCCCGTGCCCTACTCACGGGTCATCATCATGGCCACCTACTATGCAGCCCAAATGCTTATTGCACTGTCAGCTGTAGAGAGCAGAGAGGACGAGGACTTCAGAAAGAGGAACTAGGTGAAGTGCCAATAGCTGTGGACAATATGGGTTATATCTCAGGTGTTGTAGCTGCATTCACCCCTGAGAGATCTCCATTTCTCTAGGCACATTGGTGATGTTGATTTTGCTTCTTTGAAGCGTTACCTTTGGGGCTTTTTTTCAGTGGCTTTCTCTGAGTACTGCTTACTTCAGTGTGGAGTCCACATCAGGAAGCTTAGACTGTCCCTGCAGTAGCTGCTCATTCAAGTGTTCCTCTCTGGAAGTGCTGTACTACTGCATTGCATTTGTTAGTCCTGAAACTGAGGCTGAGTGTCTGGGAACAGGGAGGCTGATGGAAAGGAGGTTTGGCAGTGTGCTGTGCTAAGAGATTTGCCTTCGTAGGGGGCACACAGGTCCACATCTCTCCAAATAGGTAAAAAATAATTTAATTGGTATTTCAGCTAGTCTCTCCTTTAGTGCATTGCGAACTCAGTATGCAAAGTGGAGCGAGCAGAACCTCTGCTGAAAGGAAGCTCAGAAACAGAGCACCAGGAGCATTCTCAGACAAATGTTGGGCTCTGGAGGCAAGAGCGGTGCACGGGCCAGCCCCCAGGGGAGCCCGGTAAGAGCAGGACACCCAGCAGAGAGATGTGGTGAGGGGCGCCTGGGGAAGCAGCACTGGGAGCTTTGGCCACGGCTGGTCCCTGCTCCAGAGCAGCTCTGGATGGGTCTCAGTGCTAACGTGACAGCATGAGGAACTTCAGGGAAATCCATGTAGCCAGGCCCGTGTGTCCTCCCTCTGACACACGTGCACAGTTACCTGGTGCCAGCAGCCACCAGTGACAGTGGAGGTGTGCCAGGAACATGAAGAACTGTGATTGTGGCAGAAGAGCTCTGAGGATCTGTCGAACTAATATACCTCCTCTCTGTCTCCTTAACATGGCAGGTAGGATCTAGCCTTTATGCCTTTCTTCCTCAGGATTTTCACGGATAATATTCTATTTACTCGTTAAGCTCCTGCAGTGCTGCTGCTCGCAGTATTGCTCCCAAATCTCCCTGCAAGCGTTTCCCTTGCCTGAGGACGGCTAACCAAGGCCCTCATTGTGGCTGTAGGTGGTTGCTGCCTTTCGCTGGCTGGTGGCACATGGTCCGCGTGGCAGCACTGGCTCTTGCAGAGCCCTTTTGAGCAGAGTGTCCTGGTGCTCCAAGGGCCTGCTGCTTCCTTTGGCACCAACATGGAGGCAGTGCGAATGTGCGAGCCCCCAGCGGCGGGAAAGCCTCTTCGGTTCTCATCCCAATTCTCTGTTCCGTTTGTCTGCGTGCTGATGCGAGATAACTTCCGACTTCAAACTTTCTTAAAAGGATATAGAAAGAAGCAGCCCTGTTAACTAAAGCAGGTTCATTTGCGATCGTACTTTTCCTCTTACCTAAAGTACCTTACAGCAAGCTCTCTTTATGCTTGAAGCTTTCTTGAATGTGTTCTTCCTTTCAGCCCATGCTTGGGCCATTCCTGGGGAGCGAGGTGCTCCCTGCTGGTTCACTTCCAAGGTGCAGCTAGTGCACTGCAGGGTGCAAAGGAAGCTTCCCGAGGGCTCTTGCACCTTCTCCAATCCAACCAAGCAGGTGGCACACGGGCTCCAACAAGCCCTTCAATAGGCCTGTGTGGGGAGGGCAAAGAGGAGCAGCAACCCTCCAGATGGTTCTTGGAGGCTGGAAGACACTGGTGCCTCCAGCGCTAGCATGCTTGGACCATTCCTGTTGAAAGCCTGGCAATGAATCCCTGGAGCAGCTGGCAGATCACAAATGCTTCTCCGTGAGGCAGGATGGCAGGGCCGGGGGCAGGTAAGGGAAGGTTTCCAATCCTAGCAGGTCTCCTATGGATTCCCTATGCATTTTGTGTGCAGTAGACGCTGCCTTCCCAGGACTCTCTTGCATTAGTGCAAACACAGCCAGTATTACAAAAAAACTAGGTTAACTGTCCTGACCCTGCAGGAACATCTGCTGCTCTTCAGAGAGAGGTCAGGAAGGCGGCTGCATTACGGAGCGCAGGAGCCCCGGCCCATGTAATCCCTGCCTGTAATGCTGTTGTGTAACAGGGCAGCCCCGGGGCCTGACCGCAGCGAGCTGCAAAGGGAGCTGAGAGCCACAGGACGCTTTCATTCATCAGCAGCGCCAGCGTGACCGCTGTGCTGCGGCTCGCCGGGGATGGCGCCTGCTGCTGCTGCTCGGCTTGAGAAACTCTCCGCAACAGACGGACCCAGCTAAGAGGAGATGGAGCACTGGGGCTGACTCCCACTCTGCTCCCAGCGGAGAAGCCAGCAGCACTTCTCAGGCTGATTTACACCCCCTGCCGTGGGTCGCTCAGGCACTCTGAAGGCGTCTGCGCGGCTTGAGAACCTCTCCGCAACAGACGGACCCAGCTAAGAGGAGATGGAGCACTGGGGCTGACTCCCACTCTGCTCCCAGCGGAGAAGCCAGCAGCACTTCTCAGGCTGATTTACACCCCCTGCCGTGGGTCGCTCAGGCACTCTGAAGCCTTCCTGCCAGATTTCCAGAGCAGCCTCCCCATCCCCAGCTTTCCTTTGCTTTGAAGAAAATGAGCGTGTATTAAAATAACCCATGTAGAAGTTCAGATGCCAGTCTGAGCCATTCTCTTCCTCCATCTTCCTCAATTATCTGAAGCTGTCTTAGTTGCTTTTCCAGAGTCTTTTTTATCTGGGCTTCCTTTGCTATCCTGCTCTGCCACTGTACACTTGGCGGGAAGGCCCTTCTAAGCATTCGCAGGAAACCTGCCCTCTTGCTGAGCAGACTCTCCGCTCACCGTCAGCGGAGCCTTCGCGGCAGCAGGAGCCCCTGGATCGTGTTGCTGCGCGGGGGGACAAGGCAGGGCTCCCTGCACAGGAGGCCAGGAAGAGGCCCAAGTTGTTCGGCAGGTCACCAGATAAAGCTCTCCTCATCAAGCTTTTCCTCCTGCTCCACAGTTCCTCTTTTAATCTACATTACTTGAACTGGATGCCCTTTCCTGGAGACTGTCATTCCTGCCAGGAGAGGCCAGCTGTTGCGGACACCGATTTGACACAACTCTGATTTTCACCAACCACGAGGAACACTGGGTGGCTGCTGCCAGGTTGTTAAACACTTCCCCTTGCTCCCAGTGAGGGCAGTCTCCAATTCCTAAGGGATCAGGCAAGAAATGGGGAGCACCGGCCTGCATGTGGCCCTGCCAGACCTTTCTGGCCCTTCCTGCTGCCCGTTTATGCAGTGCCACCTCTGTCCCCCGCACATGGATCCTCCTCGTCCTTGCTCACCCGAAGGCGCGCTGCTCACAGGCCTTGGTCAGTGCTAGTTCCGCTAATGTCAGCGCTGTGACGTGGATGGAGAAAGGAGAGGGGGAAGAGAAAAAGCCAGAGCATTTTCAGCAGCTGCATCCCCACCTTGGCAAGAAAACGGGGTTAGTGCTTTTTACCCGGCTTCTTGCCCTTCCCTCGAGGCAATTTGAAGACCTGACTGGTTAAGCATAACTCTTATGTGCTTTTCAAGTAGACTGCTGCCAATACACTGCCATCAGTGGAAATACATCTACGCATTCAAAATCCCCAGGGGTTTTTTAGTGTTTCTTGTAAGTATTCTCATTCCATTGTTTGTCCCCGAGACTTGTATGTCTTCAGCTTGGTATCACAGTAACTGTGGGGGCTGTTCCAGGAGAAACCAATCACAGCTAACAGCTAAAGCTCGGGGGCCAGTGCCTCTTTCTCTTCGCTGGGATGCAGACGAGGCTCTTCTAAGCGGAGACAGTGGAACTGTGATCCCAGAGCAGCCTGGGGAAGCGCTGGCTTCCCAAAGGAGAAGTCCTCCCATGTCCTTCTCCTGCCTTTTAGCCATGCTTGCTCCTTTTGTGGCCTTGGGTAAATCACTTAAATACTCTGAGGCCAATTCCTTCTCTGGTGCAAATGAGCGCAAAAACCAGAGCGATGCCGTGTCACAGCAGTCGGGGACCAGGCCCTTCCTCTGTCCTATCCCATTGCTAAAATGGGGATACTCACACATACCTACCTCACAAGATGCTGTGAGGATTAATACTCATGCAGCGCTTCGGAGATGTAAAGTGCTATATAAGTCCCAAGTATTATTGTAACATAGCGTTAAAAATTCTTCTAGAGATTTGCAGGACTTCTCTTCAGAGCCTGGAACATGTGACTGCCTTTTTGACTTGCATCAGATGTACAGCAAACACAAAATATTTGTTCTTCATGTCTAACAGGAAAGGTTTAGTCGCACTTGAACTTGGAGGAAGGTTTAGATTGAAAGCCTGAACTCTTAATTTTACTTTTGCAAATGATTTTTAGTTCTTCTAGAAGTCTCAGCCAAATCTTCAAGATGTGAACTTTGCACCCAAATCTTGCAGTCAGGTCTCATCCCTGACTGCTATCCAGAATAAATCTAACGCAGCCAAAGTGCAGTGCCCTCAGGCTGTCAGGACTGTCGGATAGACTGGAACAGAAAATGGAGTTGTTCTCGCTTGCCTTCAGGTTGCAGGTGGCCAGCTCAGTTTCAGGGACATCTTCCAAAGGGACGTTTCAATTCTGTGACTCTTAAGTTTCACTGGCTTTAAAACCAGCCGTGAGGGAAGGTCTTGGTGGTGGTGTCGGCGCGTCCCTCTCGGGATTCCTCCCCACGTGCACCCGAGAGCAGCGGCAGGCTCTGTACAGAAGGAGGTGTTTGTACCATCAGCCCTAAGGCCCTGAATGCTGTAGATTAGAAATAGAGCTCTAAACCATCACCATGTTCTCAGCTTGTATGAAAATGCTCCAGTCACGGATCTCAAATCTGATGGTGCAGCTAGGAGGTACTAGGTCGTGGTAGCACTAGCTGTGCTGTACAGCCACACACCAAGGAACGCGAGTTGTGCACATGTAAAATGGACCATAATTTTGAAGCAGCTGCAGTGAAATCTTATCTTAATATGAACTCAGAAGCAAACACAATGCAAACTTTTTTTGTTTCTTTAAAAAGTTTCATGAATTTTAGTTTTCCTAGTTTGGAGAAAGTTTTCTCGATGTTATTTTATTTTTGCTCTTACTGTAAGAAATAAAAATGTACAGCTCTAGATAGACTAAAACGAAAGAAAAAAAAAAAAAAAAAAAAAAAAAAAAAAAAAAAAAAAAAAAAAAAAAAGGTGGCCAGTTGGCGGGAATGCCAAAACTTCCGTGGCCTGTACTGCCCTGTGGTGCCACAATGCTGCTGCAGGACGAGCTGCGGCGCAGCGGGACGCTGAGGCACAGGGATGGCTCGTGCACCGGGGCGGTTTGCTGCAGGCCAGCAGAACCCAGCCCTCGGCTCAACAAGGGAGCACCACAAAAACTGCCCCCAGCCAAACCAAAAAGCCAAGCAAGGGGCAAACAGCACCAAGCAAGCACGA